GATCCAGAGGAATTTTTTACCTTTATGTCAAAAAAAGAGAGAACTCTTTAATATTTAATCCCTGCCTCTTGATTTTTGCTACATTAATAAGACCAACTAGACCCATGATGCATGAGAACAGATTTATTCGCACAGATTTAACTGCCTGTGTAAAAAAACCCCGAAAACAAGAGTTATGAATGCATTTGTAGCAGGAGGCTGCACGGTTGATGTGCAATCTAGGTAGCAAGTAATGAGAAGGTGTTACGTCTCATTTCCCAACTTGATTCAACAGTAATAGTTCTTGCTGCTGATGTCCTCACCTATTTGCCCTCTTGAGGAATTTATTCCACTCCAAGATAAAGATGATGTTGTTCTGCCCGTGTGAAAAACCTTGCTGCTTTGCACATGCTGGCAGGAAGTCTCAAGCTAAAATAAATGAAACGGCTTCTTGATTCACAGCTGTGCATTAGTTAGTTGTTGCTATCAAAATGTAAGGGCAATAATAGAAGCTTTTCCCCCCCCAGACACTAGTATCTGTAGTCCTTCTCTGGCTGGTAGATCTCTGCAGTCACACCTTTGTCTCTCACGCTCATGTTTTTTTTAAACGAATAGCACTCAGTGCATCGTCTGTGACTGTAGGCGTCAAGACTGCAACCTCTCTCATCATGATAATAAGCGCTCCGTTTTAAGAATAACGAGGTCACGGGACACCGGTCTTGCACGTAAAGGATCGTTGGACAGCAGTAGAGAATCTCACTGCGTGTCGGATATCGTGGTCATAGGTGTCATCATTTTTTTCAGTCAGTTTTATCAATCCAGAATCATTGATACTTGGTATTTTTATACTTGTCCTTTCTGTAAATACCTGAAAGAAATACACCGATTGTCAGCCGTGAGTTACTGTCCCTGATTATACTGTAGTAAGAAGGTGCTGGTCAGCTAAAGCTTAAAAGGCAAAAGGAGAGTGTATTAATTGATTTTTTTAAACAAACAACGTATTTTTTGTTCCAAAACAGTAAAATGACTCTTCAAAAACAGGTGAACTAACTGTTGAGTCATTTGGATTATTAGCTCTATCAGTCCCTCCCCTACAGTTTTATTAATATCCTTTCGAGCTTCAGGGCTGTAAAATTGTCTCCCACATAATGCTGTACCTGAGGGCTCTGTTTCTGGCAGTCTCTACTGGGCGCTCTCTACAAACACCATAATGATTTTAAATCCATTCCCAACAGAAAAGCTGCTGCTGGGCTCTTGCATCGTGAATAGGGATGGCTTCTGGGTACGCAGGTGGATTGTCGGATGTGAGCAGGTTTGCGGTGGTGCTCTTGGCTTAGCCTTGAGCAACAGTGTCTCAATGTGGCACTAAAAATGGTCCTGCCTCCTATTGGCGAGCTCACAGCTGTGAGGCCAGTTACATGACAATATTCTCCCTAGATCTGTTTTAGTTTAGCAAATAAATAAATGGAATCTCTTGTTCTCATTTATAAAGTGTGGGTATTTTTTTTAACCATTATTTCCCACCACTGAGGTATTTAGTGTTTTCCAGGTATCTCCCCTTTAACATCGGTGGTTTATGTGTAATTCACAAACTGCAGACTGTCTCCTGGGCTGATGATTGTATTACTGAGAACTGTGTAGAATCACCCAGTAAAAGAAAGGTAGTATTATAGGGAATGATGAGACGCAATCAGTTCAGTTTCAATAGCATTTTCAAGCTTAAAAGCAAAGTTACACTCATGTTTGAATGATTTGAATGCATCTTTTATACTTAATGCTGGTATGTAAATAAATCTGAATGTAAATGATTGAGAACAGACGTTTCTATGACTGATTTTTTTTATTGTACTTGTGATACTGTTACACTTTGGGTATAATATAGGTGAGTACTGATGTTTGTTATAAATGCATATATTATACAAATTAATGCAAATGTTTGCACAAACAACACCTAATAACATTAATAATAACCACTCTGCACCTGCTGAGAAGTTGCTTTCCTTCATACATGATACGCTCCAAAGTTCCTTGCACAACAAATGGCTCATTCTAATATTGCACCAACCCATTAAGGGTGAAATGAAACTTAATTTATTGCTATGATATGTGCTCATAAAATATTATTTTTTTTAAACTGTCTTCACACAGTATATCATAATAACGCTTATAAACCTCGGCAGATCACAGCATGGGTCGCCTTGCCTAGTGTGGCAGTGCCGTGGACATCTCTGCTGACATATTCAGTGTGTGTTTCAGTGTTGTAGTAAGTTAGTCATGGTTCTCTTCAGCTTTAGGTTGCTCTACTCGTGCACAAACACACACACACAGCCGCTTTTATTTCAAGAATTGTGACACAGTGGCTTTTTAGTGCCAGAACGCAATACTGTAAATCGCAGACAGTGAATAATATTAATGACATTCACTGATCTCTTCTGAGTTCCCCTCTCAGGACAGTCTGACGCTCAGTATATTGAGTGCTCATGCTGACATTATTGAATCCTATATTTGCCCTCCTACCGTTACAGGTGCAGTGTACTGGAGCGCAAATATACCACAGGAGCCCCCCCAACAAACAAAACCTGGAATGTAAACAAGCACAGGTTTAGCTCCAAAGTCCTAATAAGGGATTAGATTAGATTAAAAACAGTCAGTATGTTTGTTGTAATTGCCTTGTGCCTGCTGCAGCTATGATTGCATACAGAATGCCTTCAACTCCTGGGAGACTTTGTGGAAATCCTCAAATTATTGAGGTGGAGAATTATACAACAGCTGCTCCGTTTAAAGAGGACGCTTGTCTCTAATAGTGTGCATCTTAATAAGCACAAATAGCTCTGGCACAAAACAGTTCTGTGAAATGTTTCACCCTACAGGGGGTAGCCAAAATAACAAACACTTCATGAGGAAGGAATTTAAATTTGAGTTTAATCAACATTAAAAACAGCTACAGAGGAGCTTTTGGTTTTTTTAATGCGGCGTATGTCCGTCATCACGCCGCTATAGGTTTCTGTCGGGCATGTGATCACAGTTTCTCTTTCGTAATTGGAGTTTACCTGTTTTTGGCATACACCTCTGTTATTTGTCTGATTTTAGACTAATTAAATACAATTTTTTTCCTGTTTTTTTTTTTTTTACTAAACGTACAATTTTGACAACCAAGCTGCTGCTTTGCGTTTATAACCTGGTATGACACTGACATCAGCTCTACTTTGGAGCAGCTGTTGTTATACTTGAGCAGAAACCAAAGATGACTGTTGATTGATGAAAAAACAGGAGCTGTCGCTGCCCTATCCCTACTGGAAACCCCCACACTAGTGATGCGCGAATGTTTACTGCTGTACATCAAATGGTCCAAGGAAGAAACTGAAGCAACTTACACCAGATTCTGATATTAAAATAAAAATGTTATATTTCATTTTACTTGTTTTTTCTCAATAAGAGATGCTTTCCCTTTATTTCAGAATATCTAATACAGTGCACTACATTGAACTACATGGAGCTGAGTGTAATGGGCAACAACAACAAAATAAAACTAGCATTAGTGGCATAATGTAAAAAAAACTTAGTAAAACACTACATTTTGGGTAATTATTCATTGCAATAAAAAGCATAAAATTAAATTAATGAGATGTAAGTGTTATTAATATTATTTATATATATGTATTATTGAAATTATTATTATTTTAGTGGTTGTGTAACACTCACACTATATGTATTTTTATCAATGAGTATGTCTACATTTTTATTTAAAAAATCAACATATCAGGTGTGGTCTTATTTAAGCTTTCCTGTATAAATTTCTGCATTTAAGAAAAATAATATAACACACACATATGTATGTATATATATATATATATATATATATATATATATATATATATATATATATATATACACACACACACAGACAAGAAGAGAAGAGAGAGTAATATAATAAAAGGAAATCAGTTTTATCTGTTGGATGAAGACAGACCTTTTTGTTGAGACAACCAAGAATATCCATCCATCCATCAGGGGTCGGGTCGCGGGGGCATCAGCCTAAGCAGAGAAGCCCAAACCTCTCTCTCCTTACCCTAGCAAGGCGTTCTCAGGCCAGCCGAGAGATATAATCTCTCCGGCGTGTCCTGGATCTTCCCCGGGGCCTCCTCCCGGCGAGACATTTCCATACCTCACCCAGGAGGCACCCAGGAGCAATAACACTATCTACAGCTTTCACAAGTTGCATACTTTTAAAATGCTTAGCCTAAACCTTGACATTTGGACATACACGCAGACATGCACAAGTGTTATGATTGGCCACAGTTTTGCTGATGAAAGGCTTGATTTTTCATCTTCTCAGCGTACATAACCTTTGCCCTGTTTGAGCGAGCCCTGCCTGTTTTGCTAGCAGCAGGAATTGACGAGGTAACGTTTACAGTATGTAACTGAAAGTCAGAGGCGAGTCATGCGCTTGTGTGGATGGGACTTATCTGTGCGTCTCCTTCTCCAGCAGGATGATGTTATCAAAAGTTGTACACCCAAACAACAATGGGTGTGTCTAGTGCTGTGACATTAGGGCTTCCCCGGTTTGATGGGACGGTGCAGCATTAAAAAAACAAAAAACAAAACCACTGGTTATTTCACTCAGTGTAAATAAACTGTATCAGTTCAATAAATCAGAACCCCCTGTCATTGGATGAATATGATACTGGCAGACAGAGTAAACTGTTTTAAGTGCTTAAGCTACTGAAGGATAAATGAACGTAAGCATGTTAAGGGGTGTATAACAAATGGTTTATTTATGTAACTAAACCCCCATGTGGTCTTATACAAAGCTCAGACGTATCCCCTGCCAAAGTGCTTCAGAAGGAGCTGCTGCTTAATGACCCTGATGTTTATCTGTAGTGAGTGCATCTTGCCCAACTTTTGGGTGGGAAAGGAAAATATGCACAATATCAGCTTGGTGTTTGGGCAAATTGCTCCATCTTGAGGGTGCCGTTTCGTCAAGCATGATTATAGATTTCCTGTTTCTCTCTTTGTTGCAGCGCTGCCAGTTACAGGGAGAGGGAGTATCCCTGCACCCCGCCCGCATCTCTGGAAATCACAGAGAACAAGCAAAACGTTGTGACAGGTCATCTTGAGCACAAGCGGACACTGAAAAGCAACAACCGGATGACACTTGGCGTTTGGACAATTGGAGGAGAGAGCTGCTGTATGGTATCAGTAAACAAACCCTCGAAGGCTGAGACTGGAGTTAGCGTGTGAGTGAGTCGCGGCCCAAAATGATTGCCTTAATTACTACACATGTAAAGATGTATGAAGTGAAGATAACTAAGAAGACTTGTTCAAAAATACAGATGTTTTATTTACATGTGAAAAAAGTGTCTTGTAAGGAACAGATGTGAATATTTTAATATGATAGAGATAATGTTTGGTCGTAACGTCGACATGTTTTAGTTGGGTCGGCTTCGTAGGTGTCATAGGTTACTAAATGGTGAGTTTGCTCTGCTTCTGTGCGGCCAGCAGTATGACTTTTTAAAAAAAAAAAAGAAATCTCGTTTCATATTGTCAACCACACAAGGCTGGCCTGAGTTGCTCGCTTATCTGTTGGCAAAAAAAAAATTAAATAACGATCTACGACACATTGTGTCATAACACATGGAAATCCTCGTCCGGAAAGTGTATAGGGTTGGGAGAGAAATACGAGACATATATTGACTGGCTCAATGCAACACACTGAAATACATCAGAAGATTATCCTCTTACATTAAGATCCACTTACACTAAAGCAAAGATGTCAGGCACATAAACACCCATCATAAATATCAGCCACACTCACTTTCTATCACAGCAGACGAAACTCGCCGGGCTCTCACTGCTCGAGAATCATTGACGTAAAGACGAAATACCTTACGTTTCTTTTCTCCGATGCAAATTTAGAGCTGACCAGCTGCTTTGTTGATATGTTTTCACTTTGAATTTACCTGTATGCAAAAGTAACATGGACGTGTGTTCTATATTTTTTTAAACCTAGCCTTGATAATTACATTAACCAAAGGTGAAACCCTGAATTTACTGTATGTTGTGGACTTCTGGAAAATGTTGTGACATAGATGCACACTGAATAGGAAAAAAAATGTAAATACCAGACGTTTCTACTTGTGTGTCCTAAGATGTGTTTCGCAGATAGAGTAATTTGAGACTTTTCACTTTCTTTGACTGTTATGACCATCCACCATAATCCTCTGTGTTCAGTTTGTCCGTTTCACTTTCTTCATATTGTTGCGAATGCTGCTCCAACATTCTTCAATGTACTTCTTTATTTCATTTGTTCCTTTTTCTTCTTTTGTCTTTTTAACAAAACTCCCATTGAAAATCCACTTACCTATTTATTTGGCATATTGAGACATGAGGTTACTGATGTCATTTGTGCAGCTTTGTGAGAGGGGCGCTGGCATTTGTTACCGCTCTTAGATCTGCAAAGTTGCCTGTGAATACAAGGATTAGAAATGTCCACTGACATGCCAGTAGTAGTAAATCATATCACATACATACATATATAAATATATTTTAATGAAGACATTGTTTTCCTTTAAAAAGCACCCTTTACATACACTATTTGCTTTAATGGCACATGAAAGCTTGTGTCCTTCATCTTATCTTCCAAGTTCTCATGTGTGCTCTTTTTCTGAAAATTCATATCTGTAATTACCTCAATATAGTGACCCTTACGAAAGATGTTTACTGAATGTTAAAAAATTTCCTTGGTGTCAAATTCTTTTCTTCTTCTTTTTTTTTTTTTAAATCACCCTATAGCCACAATATTTTAAAAACAGATGTCAGTGGTTTATTTGGGGTACTCTTTATAGAAAAGATGTGGGGGTTTTTTCGTCAGTTTACTTTATCATTGTGAGGAGGGATACCAGCAGTTTAACCAAGAACACCAGTGCACAGTAGCAGAGGTTAGGGACTGTCACTTTAAAAAGTTGCATAACAACAAATGTGTGAAAGAAAGGAGGGGAAAAAGGTGATCCAAAAGGAGCAATCACACATCCAATTGTAGCTAAGGATGCACACACACACATATGTGATGCAGCATGTGACAGCAAACTGGTTTCATTTATCTACCTTTTATGATGAGATTGTAATTTGAAGATGTCAGACTGTGCGTTGGAGTTATTGCAATATAGTAAGAATGAAAATTAATAGTCAGTTGTAGCACATTTGTTAACTTCTGATAAAATCTGTGCTAGCATCATGCGAAACCATTGATCACTGTAGGCTAACGATGTGAAAGTCACACCCTTGGGCGTTGTGTCTGCGCTGAGCAGGGGGTTTCGCGTCATGGCTAAAACGTTGGCTGGACGAGGTGTTTATTTGCAGTTTATGCATCACAAACTGTTAAACTGTATTTTGGGGGCATAGCTTTAAGAAGCATTTGCAAGCAGTGACGCTACAATAAATATTTGAAATATTCATGAAGTCCAGTTGTTCTTGATTGCGTCGTTGCTGGGATTCATGGTCCGTATCTTTGACCGGCTTTTTGCATGCTGCATCACATATACGTCCAATGTTAGTGTGTGCCGATTGTTATTGTCGACTCATATTGACAGAAACATGATTTTCTGTGATGTAAATTGGTTATTTTTTGCTGGATAAATGTTCAGCAGTAGTGTCATGAAGGGTGGAAATTCTTTAAAACAATATTCTTCTTGACTTTTGCACAGCAGAGGACTAAATGACAAAAATCATATCAGCACCTCCTATCATCTATCAGCTAAAGTTGTTGTTTTAAACACTGCTGTTAGCCCAGATTTTACAGTTGGCGCATTGTTTCTTTTAGCTACAATTTGCATGTTTCTTTAAAAATCACGTTAACGTAAAACTGGAAAAAAAATGTTGACAAATGTAGAAATTATTAAGGGAAATTAAATGAATGAAATTAAAATGTTTATGAAACAATATAACAAATGATTTGGCTATTTAGCACACAGGCACAAAGCTTTGGAGCTATCACATTTTTCTTTGATAATTAAAACAACAATTCATTATACGCAGAGTTTAAGCTAAAACCGGCTCCTAGGTACTTATCAACTGTACAGACAGTCTGTCTTTCCCCAGCTAGAAGGACGGAAAACTTATTACCCAAAAATGTTGAGCTATTTCTTTCACAGGTAGATTAAATCAAAATTGTGACTGATGTCCAAAAATATATTTTCAGAAGTAATCTCATTACACTGATCTTGTCAGATTATGTGCCTGAAGCACAAGATGTTCCAAACCCGGAGAGGCCCAGGGAGCGTCAGGAGAGGCCAGCACAAGCATTTGAAGCTGAACATTAGCTCACGGGGTGTTCAGATATCTGAGACGCAGCTATCCCAGATACTATCGCACCAACTGCCAGTGATGACCAGAAGCTGTGTGACACTGATATATTTATGAGGGACAAATTAATTAGCTACAGCTTGGTGTTACCACAAAAGCCAAAGAGTAATATTCCCACAGGTTAGTAGACAGAAAAAGAACATGATCAGCCTGCCAATTGATCCCGCAGGCCACCGCATTCAATCAAGCAGAGCAAATAAGCACCAAAGGAGGCTGGAGGAAATCTGGGCACTCTGTAACCCATTTCCTCAATCTATGAATTAAAATAATTTATTTGGTTAGACTTGACAATTGTGTCGAGCTGCACTGATGCACAGCACTGAGTTATATATGCTCTAAACTAAATACTCAGAAGGAAACCAAGAAAAATGTCACATACAAAGACAGAAGATTACCAAGGCGGAATTTCAGCCTTTGAAGCAGAAAATCATGGACGTGTACACTAAACAGAAAGGTCCTCAGATTATCCAGCCTCATCATCCAGGTCCTGTCGTGAGCAAACAGCTGCATCACTTCTTTAAACTTTGCACTGCTAGGCATTCCTAAGGACGCTAAAGTGACCTGCGGTAATAACTGCAGTGATAATTTGTTGTGATTCAGCACGGCAAATGAGCAGATTTTACAAAGCTGCTGGGGAGGTTACCAACAGTTTGTGTGGGGACATTAGATAACACACAGGACGAGGTGAGAGGAGAACATTTTAATTACAATTGCCTTGGAGCTAGAAAACTCACCAACGCTACATGTAAAACATTTCTGAATGCCAGAGAGAGTAGCTCACACAACTGCTGACCAGAGTCGCTCAGATCAGTTTTGAACTCAACACATCAAAGAAAAGAACTAGACTCAAACAAAAGAAAACAATTGTTGGGACTGAGTTTTAGATTAATAAGACCTCTTACGTAAGCGCCCACATTGTGAGAAAGTGCTTTTCTGTCGAAGCTCACGTATTTCTGAGGCCTAAACACCTGCGAGACTCTTCCGTCTCTGTGCAACCGAGCAAGATTAAGTTTTAAGATGAATGCCTCCTTTAGTCAATAACAAAGGATTTACTCACTGAAAGAAATCACCGATTGGTTTCTAAAGCCAAGACAAACAAGACGGTTCAGATTTAGCTGAGAAAAAAGTTTCTTATGGTTTTTCAGCGTTGATCCAAAACCGTCGAAATTACATCCTCATGTTCAGCCAGCCTTTGAATTTAGTCCAGGTTTCAGTTTCTTCGTACATTTGGGCTCCACAATGACAGAGCATTTCACAGAGCATCACAGTTATTAAAAACCAACCCGAAAACCAAGACCCTGCTCAGTGAAACAAAAATGTCAGTTTTGCCTTTAAGACTGAATTTACTCTTCATACACTGAATTTGATTCAAATTTAAAACCCTCTTTTTGTCTCCAGATATCTTGAAAGGACAAACCGACTGAGCCTGATATCTTCACATTGCACCCGGAAAGCACTGCAGATGCTTCCATGCGGCTCGGTTTGGATATTACATCCCGCCGACACATACTGTACATAAATAAAAGCGCTGCATTATTATGAGGATAAAAGCCCGAGTGTTTATTGTAATATCCACAGCATTAGATAACAGCAGAAACTCGTTTTATGTCTTAATCTCCTTATAAACAAGGTGCCCTGTGAGGAGCGCTGCAGAACTGTTGAGCGGTGACGCAGTTTGCTTTTGCTGTGAAGTGTTTTCGTGCTGCAAATTCAATGAACGCAGTGTTTACCTGTCCGCATCCATATATTTAGAAACCGGTCTGAGATATGAGACAAATAAAACAAAAAAAGCTTTGCATAATTTGTTTGTGTCTGTTGGAAATACAGCTAATGTAAGCACAAAGGTCAGATTACTGGGTTTACAGCGAGGATGACCACATGACCACGAGTATTACGTTGGAATTGGAAGCACCTTTAGTAGTTAATACAGAAGCAACTATAACTGGTCATACATGTAACTCTACCACAAACCAGTGATATCCTTGCTGCGTTTCTCTAGACAGAGATTACAGGGCTCAACCATCTTTCATCAAAGTACAAGACATATGACTTTTTTTTATTAAGTGTGGACTTATCTCTTCGGTTGTTGATGGAAAACAGGTTCTAGCTTATCCAAATTCAGGCCATGATGCTTTTATCATATCCCAAATGTCAGACTGAGAATCTGAGTTCTTCTGGATTCTGAGGGAAATTGCACCAGTTAACAAATGACGAATGACTAAATAGTTGCAGCCCTAATGGAAAACAAGACAATTTTTTTGGAACATTGTGTAATTCCCCCCCTCGCTCTGTGATAAATGCTCTGTGTGTCATGTCTCAGTAAAACGCATTCGAACGCGTGAAATTAGACAAAACACAAGCAAACAAACTAAACGTTTCCATCAATTCCGCAACACGTTTGCAACATTTAGACAAAGCCAAAAATGGGAAAATTGCCGTCATCGACAGGTCCGGCAGTAAATGTGCTGCAAATGCAGAAAACGCACTCTGATGCAAAGCGCCCGCTTCTTTATTCTGTCCAGTTGCACGTGCGCACTGAATGTGGTGAAGATGATTGCTTCGTTTAATTGTGTTTCGTCTATTTGCATGTTTTGGTTAATTACGGAGCGTTAGCTTCTCTGGGCCTGCCGTAATCCTCGCATCCAAAGTATGATTTAAAAGCCCGCAGACGGTCATAAAGATGAAACGTGCTGTTTTTCGGGACGCGCCCAGCACAGAAAGATAATTAGTATGTGTCCTTTTACCTACAGTATGCAGACCAATTACTGTAGCCAATAATTTTGTCATGAACAGACTGCATGTGGGGCACTGCACAATTCCCCCCCAAAGCAAACCTTCACATTTACAGGCCAAGAAACAGTGAGCATGTGGGAGTATCACTTTCAAGCAAACGGGCATTCTTTATGCACAACATTTCTAATTTAGCACTTTGCAATTAGGTCAGAAACTCTTAACCTGTGAAACCGACGTGACAGTTGTTTCTGATCATTACTCCAGGAGAGAATTTGACAGGACAGAGACGGGGTTCAAAACCAGGATAATCAGGCGTCTATGCAAGCTGGTGCAGATTGGTCAGCTACAAGTAACGGCGGTCACAATCCAGCATATCTACTATTAGTCTCGATGATTCGCACGATCGCCTCACTCGCAGTGGAAACGCCGTCTACGTGCAGCCACGAGAGGTGTTTCTACATGCTTGCTGCTCTGCTGCTGCAGTGTGATGATGACAATGATGGCGATTCTGTTTTTTGTTTAGGGGGTTGAGTTTACAAAGGAGGGATAATCATCATTGATCAGTGCAGAGAAACTGGCAGTAGTTATTCATGAATATGTAAAATATTTCTACAGTTCAGGTGTTGAGAAATATCCATGTGAGTTTTGGCCAGCCTTGCTTTTATTCTGCATGATGCTTTGTTTTGAGAAATATGCATCCTAATCCAAGGTATGTTTGTATTCCTTTCCTGAGGGTGCGCCTCTCTTTCTCCTTCACTCTCTCTCTCTGTATCTTTGGAGCTTGTCACTTTCTGACCTTAATTGTCCTGTTTTGTTTTCTTCTTTGTTTTATTTATAATTATTATTTTTTTTTTTTGATTAGTTTTTTTGGGGGTAAGCCTTCCAAATTCTGGATTTTCTACATTCATAACATTTTGTAGACAGCAATATGAGATGTGATTGAAATGGAATATGTGCAATGTTGATTAAAGAAAAATATAATATATTCAATAAAAATCCAGAAAACAGAAGTATGCTGCTCATCATTTTGCTGTCATAGACAAACCTCATCTGAAGGCGGGTCTACAGTAATCTTAGAAATCCTGCATGTTTGCTTGCAGGCTGACGCGTTTTCTTGCCTCTATAAATACTCAGTATGAATAGCTACTCTAGTCTAATCTTTAATCTTCATTACTTACAAATATAACAAGGCGTATTTCAGTCTTCTATCCTATACATTTTGGTGCACCCATAGAGCAGATGTACAAGCCTGTAACTGATGGCATGGATGGTGATGGACTTGATCTTCCTCAAAAGTACTTTAACCAGGACAGTGTGAAGAGAATCAGATTGGGGCCTTGTGAGTGTTTGCCCTTTCTCACACAGCAGGAGATGGTCTGTGAGTGCAAGTAATACTTTTTCTTTCTTTTTCTTTTGATTCAGCTTGGATGCAGGAGGCAGCACCTAATGCCCAGACAATTACCCGCTCTATGGGCTCAATCAGACATTATAGGACTTTGTACCAGGGAGCTGGCAGGTTAAGGACCATTTAATGTCCGTTCCAACTGACTCAGGCATTTGTGTCCTCGCAAGCAGCTGAGTGAATTTGAGGACTGCGGTGGATGTGCGATACAGCTACAGTTTTCTTATGCTGTGTGATTATGGAGAGAAATATGCCTCAAAAGCAAATGCGTACGATATAATCCAGAAGTGCTAAGATTTGCACAAAACTGGGCCATCTGGGCGTCAGCGCACAGGTGACAGAACAGCATAATTGTGTATCACTGTCGATCCTCTGGAGGGAATATATGCTAACTAATCTCTGTATATTTTGGGAAAAGAAGTGTAATATTATAACAATATTACCATTCTCTGATAATAGCAGGCTAATGTTAATGTTAAGCCTAATGACAAATGGGTGTAATAACAGTTTATTTAACCTATATATTAACCTTCAGGCTACAGTTTAATGCTTTTAATTATTAAATCTGTATTTCCTAGTAGAGGGGTGTTGAGCTGTTCTATCTATTATATGACGAAATGCCTGCTTTTAAAGCCCAGGTGTTCCACTTTTACACGTGAACGCAGCTCACATTTGTGGATCTGGAAGCTGGCAGCATGAAATTTGTCTTAAAACTCCACGTGGGCATGCAATGGGATCTGTGCGTATCAGGTAATCGGTACACATGCATTTAAGACTTTGTACGTGAGCAACAGGGATGGTGTGGGTACTTTTTCGAGCTTTGTAGATGTCATTGTCTTCCCATATGTGATTCTAAGTGAGCCAGATGGACTGAAGTGAAGTGGGCTCATTTTTTTGTGGTTAGGTAGCATTTCTTCAGCACCGCAGCAAAAAGCAGCGAGATTACAACACTGCAAGACATGAATATTAAACACTTAGAAACAGAAACCATTTACGTCAAACTTTAAACTATCCTGTCATTATGGGGGTTCTTTTGTTGTTGTTTTTTTAACTACACATTGTCATGCAATCGCCTACTTTGGCTAATCTGCTAACATCAGCACATCTCCCTCCCTGCCTGTTTTCTCACAGTGTTTTGTTTGCTGTTGGCTGAACTGCTGGGACATGTGTGCGCACATCACTCGTGCGGCTCAGTCAGAATCAGCTCTGTCAGCAGGGGCCGGGTATCACAGTGACAGAACATTTTCACCCACAGTGGCCGTTTACGGTGGTTGCTTTTGAAACTGGATGCCCGAGCCATTCGTGTTCAACGCTGCTTAAATATTTCAAATGGCTCCGTTGTGGTGCAATTACTAGACTCTTGGACAAACACCAGTTCATCCATCAAGCTGCTGATGGACGTGCTGCGGGCGGGTACGTGCTCGGCCTCCTCGCAGTGGTTGCGCTGGGATGGAAACTATTCGTTTCCAGTGCCTGTCAGGGGAAAATTTAACAAATGCTTGACATTATTTTGAATTTTTTTAATGCCCTACAAATGTTTGAGGAGCTAAGAGAGTTTGTCATTTGTTGTGGATGACAGCAACCCTGAAAGGTGGATGTATGACTGTGGGTTCAGCTCAAAGAGAGGAAAATTAGACCAGTGTCGAGGATATATATAGTAGCTCACCCTTTACAGCTGTTCCCGAAAAAACGAGACAAGGTCTACAGGAGGGTGCCTGCACACACACACACACACACACACACACACACACACACACACACACACACACACAATGCAACTAACAAACATCCAGACCAACTCGTTCAGATGGCTGCCTCCTTGCTGTGAGTGAACCTGAAGAAGCGGTGATGCAGAATGTTTTATCCACTGTGTTTGCTCACTTTTTCTTTCTTGAACAAAGAGCTTGCAAAGGAAGCTCACTGCTGCACAGTTATACAGTTGGTTCCATTCATTTTATTTGCGTAGCACTCATAGCACAATAGAAGTTATCTCAAGGTGTAAGGTAAAGACAGAAAACAATCAATCCACTTTGTGCAAGTACTTGGCAGCAGTCGGGAGAAAAGGAAAAAAAAAACTCCCTTGAACTGGGAGAAAACCTCCAGCAGAACGAGGCTCAGTGAGGGGCAGCCATCTGCCACAGCCAGCTGAGGAATGAGGGGGGAAAGAGATGAGAGAAAAGAAGAGCAAAGAGAGCCCACAAACAGGACGAAGCACAAACTGTGGGGGAGAGAAGACTCAAAGTTACGACTGTATGTCGTAACTTTGAGTCATTTATAGCAGCATATAAATGCACGGGAGGTGAAACCCATGAGAGCGGAGGAGAAATACTCTGTGCATCATGGGAGATACCCCTACCTCCACCTGCCCGAGCAGGATAAATAAAGGGATGGTTCAGGGTCACCAGCTTCAGTGGTAACTTTAAGCTCGATAGGAAAATCAATGCTTAAAGCCTCATTTTGAACTCAATGAGGGTGTCTATCACCAGAGTCAAAACTGGGAGCTGGATCCACATGAAAAAGGCTCCCATTCTACCTTCTAAAACTTTGGCAACAACAAGTTAGCTTTTGGATAATGTGGTGCTGTGAGGTCTTTAAGGTATGCCTAAGTTTATAAAGAGTAACAAACAGGACTTTGAATTCAGTCCTAGATGTAGCATGATAGATCCCAGATGAGGCTATCACAGTCACATTTATATAAAAGGTGTATCCAAAAGAATTACCCGATTTAAAAAGGCAATTTTTAAAGCAATGTGCACAGGAGCTTGTAGTAAATTCTAAAACTATATGTATCTATATATATATCTATATCTATATCTATATCTACATATATATATATATATATATATATATATATATATATATATATATATATATATATATATATATATATTAGGGGTGCAACGATATTCGTATCGATATTGAACCGTTCGATACAGTGCTTTCGGTTCAGTACGCATATGTATCGAACAATACAACATTTGTAATTTATTTTATCAATTTTCCTTCTGACGATGCTGTCTGTGTTGAGCGCTCAGTGAATCTGTGTTCGACTACTCCGCCTAGGCTGCACTGTCGAGCGCAGATCCACTGAGCGCTCAACACAGACAGCATAGTCAGAAGGAAGAGCGCAGGGCAAGCTAGCGAGACAGAAGTTAAGCTCTCCTTGCAACAGGCATTGAACCTCATTCAGATCTGGCGTTTGGAATTATTTTGGTTTTCATGTGACGTATGACCCTGAAGGTAAGCGAGTCATGGACTAAAGTAAAACAGTATGTTGGATGTGCCATGCAATGCTCAATTACATTGGTGGTTTGTTTTTTTTTGGGTTGTATGGAAGCCCCAAACGCAATTTCATTGTTCTTGACAATGACAATAAATAAATAAATACTAAATACTAACTAGTGTGTTAGCGCAGTTAGCTCGTTAACGTGTTGGCCGTCTAGCCCCATGCACGGAGCGATCGGCGGTAGCTCGTTAACGGAGATTTGCCGTGTTGTGGCGTTAAGGTCATTTCAACGAGATTAACCTGAAAGCACTAGTGGGAACACGACGAATATGACTGCACATTTACGCCGACATCATCCTAGTGCAAAGACAAAAACAACAAGCATGCTACTAACTTTAGCCGAGTCATTTAGACAGCTGTTAGCACATGATTCTCCTTATGCTGCTGAGAATATAGCCCAGAAGAAGCGGATAGTATAGCTTTTATTTTGGAAAGAGCCATTTCTCTGTAATAAACTCTCTTTTCCAAAGATGAGTGATTCCTCAATCAGATACAGGGCTTGCAATATCGCTAGCCCGACGTCCCGGAGCTAGCGATTTTTTTCAGTCGGGCTTCCAAAATCTATCTCTTCCCTGCCCGTCGGGCTATTGTAGGAAAAATATATGTCAATGCTTTTGCATTCTTTCAGAAATGTAGCTGGGTAATTATGTCATTGGCATCGGTGAGCCACTGTCAATATGTGACATATTGAAGTCGCGTTTGAATTTGCGCTTGTTTTTTTGCTTTCACTTTGCAATCGTGCGAACTGTGTATAGAGAGCGACAGCACTGATCTGTGAGTGATGATAATTTGTGCACCAATTCCTCTGACATCGTCTTATTAATCGTTAGCTTACTATGCAAACATGACAAGTGAAATCTCCCGCAGCTTAAACATGTGAGAGGTTGATCGCGCAGAGAATCGCTGAGCTTATGTGAGTGCGTGTGTAAAAGCATTTCAGTTCTGCTGAGCCAAATAAGACAGGTCGGGGTGAAGAAGTGACAGCCAAAGAAAAGCTTACCACAAAACGGAGAAGTTATGACAAATCAGACTATAAGGCAAAAAGAAAGTGCAGCTTTATGGTTTCATGGACAAAAGAATTTCTGTGGCTGCAATATGACGAGCTAAATAACCAGGGCTGCACATAAGTGGTCCGCAGGTGCGCATTCGCTGTCAAAATAAAAAACACGCACAAGGGTTAGGGTTAAATTTAAAAACTGTACTTTTGAGTTAAAATATATATTTATAATTTTAATAAATGACAAATTAAAAATGCATGAACATTTTTTGTATCGAAAAAAT